GGATGATCCTTTGGTGGAAAGATAGAGAGGTGTGGAGAGAGAGAGCGAGGTGGGATTCACGGTGGAAACAGAAGGGCAAGTAGAGGGGCAATCGTACGACACAATCGAGGTGGGTAAATTGGAGCCTGCAACGGTCGGGGACGATGCAGAGGTAGCAAAAACAGTACTATTTCCAAACAAATCGTTTGAGCTACTATTGACAGCCGCGCCTGAAGGCGTTAATATGGATGAAACTCTTATCTGAGTATCAGCTAGCTCTGTAGACCAAAGCAACAAATCTGTCAAATCTCTGTAAGAATAATCCGTGGAGGTACCGTGAGAACAGAAAAAAGAAAAAAACAGAACAAACGAATCAAAAACAGGGAACAGAATTGGTGAGTGAAGAACAGAATTGGGCAGTTGCTTCCAGTGAATGATGAACAGCTTGAACTGAAAAAGAAAAGCACTTTAGGAAGTAAAGGGGAAGAGAATAATGGCGACTTTTTTTTCCGATAAGCCATCATTCTCCCTTTCCACTATCCTCGATCTTTGAGCTTCACTGTCATCCATGCAAGAATTGCCCGTGAACGAGCAGTACTACCGAATCCTTGGGGGGAAAAACAAACAAAAATAAAAGAGAGAAAGGACTTGCAAACAACAATGGATCGAGAAAGGTTTCATTTGACACGATTAGCCTCTTAATTACACACATTATTGAGCATATGGACGCACAAGTCAAGGAATGTGGAGTTCTTAGAAAAGAAAATCAATCAAAACTTTGAATCGGATATTAAGGATTTGGAGCATTTCGCGATTATTGATGATTAAGTGTATTACCTGAGCTGTGAATTGACAACGCCGGAGATACCACAGTGGTTGTCGGAGTGAGCGGTGGCGGGGGAGGCGAAACCGTGTCCGATTCCTTCGGGTTAGAGTATGGAAGTGCTAGGGTTTGAGCACGAGCACTTTCCTCCGCTAATACATCGCAAAAGGCTCGATGCGTAATAAAACTATCCCTCCTTCAAGAAATCGAAACAGAAATTCAGTGAAAATGATAAACAGAGAAGCGATGATTTCTAGGCATCCATTAAACAGAGAAAAGAAACACGAAAATCGAACCTAGAAAATAAAGTGCCACAATCGCATTTGTACTCTCGAGTTCCGCAAGTTTTCATATGCGCTTTCCAATCAGATTTTACCGCGTATTTCTTCGAGCATCTCTCGCACTTCCATTTCTTCTCGCCGTGTTTTCTGCAGAAGTGCTTCTTTATTCCGGTAAGATCGCCGAGTGCTCTCGCCGAATTGTGGTGGACGCAGGTAGGTTCCGGACAGACATAGACGCGCTTACGCACCTCATTGTCAGTCCGTTGCCGAAGCTTCCAGGGAAGGTTGTGGCCTCGCCGGTGAAGCTGCAGGTTCTGGTCCCGCTGGAAGCCTTTGTTGCATATCTCGCACACAAACCGGTTCGTCGCCAGCAAACTCTCCGCCGACAAAGCAATCACCTCCGCCGTCGGGTCTGAAAAACAGAAACAATCAAATCTGGGAGCCAAGATTGATTGAAATCACAGAATATCGAACAATCAAAACATCGCGGCTGGATTGGCGCTTTTAATTCCCTTACCTGGCATTCCGGGAAGGTTCCGTTTCTTCTTCGGCAGGGCTACCGCCGTCACTGGCTCGATATAACGTGAAGAAGATAAAGAAGCATCTCCTCCGGAAACCGCAACCGGCGAACAATTTTCCATATCAACCATTCGGCAAATAAGCTCAACGAGAAGATAGTTTTAGGATTTAAGCTTTACTGAAAGCTCAGCACACAATAACTCATTATAAGAACACTGCGCTCCATCCAATGATTAGCAACTCGGATTCTAAGCCTTCTGAACTTGTGATTGTATGTTAGGAAAACTGAACCTAAATTTAAGGACATTATTGTCTTTTCACATTTCTGGTTTTAAAATTTTGAAAAAAAAAATAAAAACAGCTGAAATTTTGAACAAAAAGAAATAGTTGAGGAGAGGGAGAGAGGAGAGTGGAAAATCAGATTAAAAAGAAATAATCTAAGCGGCGCCAGTTAACCATGGTTAGGGAAGGAAGGACTTTTGTGTGTGTGTGATTACCATGGTTTAGGGAATGGAAATCTATCCATCCACGTGTCGTAATCTACTAGGTGATAACATTTGTCGGGGAAACTCGGACCAATTTTTCGATTGAATTAGAAGTATAGTGGTCGAAGAGTGGTGGCAATAGTGTGAATAACATGAAGCTGGAGGGCATTTTGGGAGACGTACGGATACAGTACGAGTGACAGAAAAGGTAAATGGGGAGCTTGGGCTTACTACAAGGCATTATCCTGCACGTGCTTCTTACAAAGCGTTGGGACCACGGTGTTACAGTGGGGACGATCGCAGCGGAACGTCGAGATCATCACTCGAAAGCAAATCACAGGAGCGGTTCCATTTTGAAGGTCGTGCTTTCGGTTGTAGGGTATATGGTTGCTTAAAAGGGCAATGTTTTGTCCTTTTGTGTCTGAGGACTCCGATATCTACGGACGGGGGCACCGTAGACATTTCAAAATTTTATTTTTAGTCTTTACCAGTTATGCCCTTGTCACAGTAGAGCTCATTTGGAATGTTTACGGGTGATTGTGCGACACGGGTGATTATGCGACACTTACTTTTAGTATCGACTGAGTCAGCCAACCTAAAACTATATTACCGACGTATGTTCAAGCCTATAGTCTAAAAATGGAATAGATAAGTTTTTTAAATAGTGTTTGAAACCAAGATTGAAAGAATGTTTGAAAGCAATGCTACAGGTGATAAGCGAGAGACAATACAATGGCTTGAATAATATACAACTCCCGAATACGAAGAATTGACGACTAGTCACGTCTTCCTATAATTTGAGACATTTCAGATCTACCAAACGTAAACATGACTATACCAAGCATTATACATTTAGGAAACACAAAAAAATAACTATACATCATGAAAGCGATAAAGAAAAGTAGTAAAGTGATTTAATGTAGGGGATTTGATATACAACGGACATGCAACTATAGACAACACATCTTGGATAAATATGTCCGTGACACCTTCTATTTTCTCACTACTAAACTCTACCCCGCAATCGGCAAACCTACTCATTTGTATTATTATTTTTATGTATGTTGTAAATTGGAAAAAACTACACTCGAATTCCTACTTATCCAATGTAATCGAGAAAAAGGTTTGTTTTATATCTTCAGGATAGGGAAATTATTAGATAATCAAATTTAATATTAGTTTTGTATGTAATGGAAGAATCTAACCGAGTATTCAATGTGGAATTTATCATTTCCATATATGAAAATCATTTGTTTTACCTTCGACAAAATTTAACTTATCGATTATTTTATTATAATATGACAGCCGTTTATATTTGAAAAATAATAAGATTATAATAACAATTTATTCAGAAAAGTGTACCATATGGTACACTGACATTAAAGTTTAGAATTTTTAACTCAAAAATCAACGTATGGACCAAAACTTAACCCTTTCTTACTTAGATAGGGACATTTCCCAATATAATAAGTCCATTTAATTATTCTGAAAGGATTTTTCATGTCTTATCTAAACTGAAAGACCCTTTCTTGAATTCATTCAATTACATGTTAATGCAATCGACTTAATCGACTTAAGACTTATAATAAAGTAGGTTTAGCCCTAATAGATTTACACCAAAATAGAATATCTAAATCATATAAATAAATAAAATCCATATAGAGACCACAATTGCAAAATTTAGAGTTATACTCGATATTTTACCTACAAAATTCAACAGTTGGGAGAGGCATTAATTTCGAGGATAAGAGGGACCCAGTTCAACATTTACTAGATAAAAGTAAACAGCTATCAAGGATGAAGATCACAATTTAAAAAGGCAAGAGGGGCAAAAGATGCACAAGTAATCACCATATATTTGATTTGCGAATTGGATATCTGTGATAGCCGTGAGTTCCAACTACAAAAGCTTTCATCTTTCCTTTCTCTTTTGCCTTTTTTCCTTCTTTTCCTCTTGTCATTATGGTGTTAATATAATGCATATTACAGAGCCCAAAGCTGCTGCCTATTCGATGCAAAGGTCAATGTAGTGATTATAATCAACTAGTTTCTAGGGGCGGGGACAAATGATTCATGGAAGAGAAAAAAGTCAATCTACGGAGTATTTACTTTTATCACATCTCCATTCCCATAGGCAATATTTCATATAATTGCTATGGCCCATGTAACAGTGAGACTGATAAATTACTAATGTTGATTATATAGTATTTTTTTAAGTTTTGTACCGTTGCTCTTTAGTCGAGAAATGTGAAATCTTAGTCATTTCCCATTGGCAAAAAGCCTGTTAATTGGCAACAGGAATTATATGGTACCCATGTGGCGTGTACAATAAATGAGAATCTACCTATTTGTCCAACCAGGTCAGGACCACTATCTACAGGTTTGAACCATAGACAAAACCATCCAACATGGTTATTGAACTCTACTTGGAAGGGGGAGGCAAGGCCTTGTAGTTAGGGTTTTGTTGACGATGATTTCATGCTAACGGAGCCGACTACGGATTTAAAGAGTGAAGAGGAGGTTGAGTGAATATGGTTGCTAAATCTCCTCAGTGATTTCTAACCACACAGTATATATCACCATCACCCTTACCTTGGGACTTAGCCCCAAATGGATCCAATTTTTCTCCCTTTTTCTTTTTCAATCTGAAAGCCAGTTATTGGAGCAGGTTAGTCTATGGCTCCTACATGTATAAGTTAGTGGTTTTCATCCTGGTGCAAGGTCCAAACAAATTAGACTCGTGTGTATTTTACTTCTTGGTAACATAACTCGATTTGGGTAACATGTGGTTGTCACTTAATTCAACCTGTTGGTAGCTAACAGGATTCTTAATGTCAACACAATAAGTAATCTAAGTTCGGAGTGAAACAAATGAAGGCACAGAGACTAAATATTGACAAAACTAGAGTAGAGTATGGAAAACTGGAAAAGTATTATTTAACCTTTTATTTAATAAGGGGAAAAAGGGTCGTATACTGAAACTCAAGCATAGCATCACAAACTCAACCAGTGTGTCTAAGCAAAGGAGAACTTAAAGTAGGTCTACGACTACTGGAGCTAGAAAGGTACAATGATAACAGGGCGGGAAAAAAAGACTATAGCTTCATCATGACGCGCGATCGTGCAGGTTACTACTGCCTGAATCTAATATTTTATACGCATGTTCTTTGCACAAGGATGTTCAATATCGACTGGTTGCTTGAGAAAGAAATAACACTGTAGACATGGTACAATAACCGAGAAAGTTACCTCGCTTCAAAAAGGGCTTCCGAAAGGGAATATTCAAGTCGGATCCAAATGTGTCAAAGATCTCGCATCTCCGAGTATTTGACTGTCCTCAACTGAGGACTCCCAAACCTGCTCCACTTTGACTGGGGAATCTACAATTTCCACCGTATTTTAGCAGGCAGTCGTTTTATGACCGACATAAGTTGTAAACTTCACCCCGCATAACATCAATTGGCATGTGATCATGAGTGTATCGCTCAGGTCCTTGATAGACTCCAGTCTTCTCCAAAAGAGCAACCCCCTCGTCCCTACCATATCTTGATGCATAGAGCTTCAGATATTCAATGTCCTAATTGGCATCCAAAACAGATTTCATTAGCAATCCCAAAGTATATAAAAATGAGTAGGCTATCCATATCCAGGAAAATTTTTATTTGCCAAAATAAACGAACTGAGAGAGACTATTCTAGTAAGTTTTATCCAAGTAGAAATTTGCAACCCGAATTTCGAGCAATACCATACATTGCTGTAATACAGGATTAATTGTTTGGGCATAACACAAAACACTAAAGGATCTTTACTCATTTTTGTACTATGCATGGTCGGCTGCGTACACAGTTTAATATTTTTATATTCTATAATAATCCGTATCCAAAATGTTAGGTTTTAACTCGTAGGGTCAAATTTAGCATCCAGTAAGCATTAAAATCACCTGCAAACCACTAAGAAGACGCTCAAGTCTTAAGGAAGCAACTGGCTCATGTGAAGATGAGAAAACCTCCCCAGGGTAGAAAAGCACTCCATCTCCAGGAGGAAGGCCTCGTCTAAATCTTATCTACTCGAGTATGATAGAGACTTGTTAGGAAAGCATGTGACATACAACGTTCAGCATTAGAGCTTCTGCAGCTATGCAAGTATAGCTTACCTCTGCACTCGGAACTGTTGCCTTCTCATAACAGTTTGCACCCCAATAAAGAAATCCTGTCCCGCCTTCTTTCCATACACGCCACATCACAGCACGATGCTGTGTACCTCGCATCCCGAGGTGCCAATTTGGATGGGGATCAGCTGGCCCCATACACACATATGTCCACCATTCCTGCCAGAAAGGTGACTATATCCTCAGCAGAGAACTATGCAAAAGGACTTAAACCTTTAGACAACAAGAGTATAGCAACCATTTAAAAGAACTAAAATAGAATATTCATTGATGATTGAATCACGGATGCTCTAAAGAACGAAAATAAAGATTTCATCCATCGAGAATATTTAAAACCTTTATTTCTAATCAGTCACCAACTCTAGTTCACACACTGTTATCACCAGGAGTAATGAAACAACTCAAAACAGAAGTCGAAGCAGCAATTTAATGACTAAACATCACTAGCAAAAACATAGAGATAGAAAGAGAGAGTGAGGAAGTCACAGCCTCATAACAGAATGATTCATAATTACGAGGTGTTCATGCAAATAGAAACAAAATACAAAGCCATGAACGCATTTAACTGAAATCCACTACTAAACGTGTGATAAACCATAAACATATAATTTCATAGAAATCAATTCTAGGAAATACATTTTAGGGACCTAAAATTCCAAAAATTATTACCTCACCATTCTCTGGTTGCAATTCAGCAATTATATCCTTGACCAGATCCTCTCGATTGCCAAGCACCCATTCACTGTATAACAAAAATAAATTACACATTCTTTTATGCTAAGCAATTTAGTGTAGATAGTGGAAAAATGATCGCAAGACTGGAGGAAGACCGTCAGATTTAGATAGGGCAGCAAGATATAATTTTATGTGGGTGTGTGTAGTTCTTATAGTCCTACATCGTCCGAACACCTTAAAATATTCTGACCAACCTACAAGAACCTGGCCTGTGAAATATATTATATTCATCTCCCATTCCACTCAATATTGCTACAAGACACAAGAATTACATCTGCCCCATCCTTCTATTCTTGTTTATCGAACTCCTCTACTTGCAATTAGAGTATTACCTTGTGCAATAAATTTGAGTATGTGGGCGCAAGAAACTCGGAACCTTCACAAATGCTTCAAACGTGGTGGGTGCAAGAGGCGCATCATTGGGTCCTGCATAAAGCAACAATCACAAATTATATTTGTGATTAGTTACTACCGAATTCTTGTAGAAACAATCTGATTAGTTTCTACTGTATTCACATGAAAAAACTCTGGATCAAATCCTCAAGTGCCGAAACTCTAATAACAACGAGGTTGATGTCTGAATACTGTTCATGAAAACTACAATACCATCTTTGTGTCGTGCAAATTATTAATCTAGCAGGGAAATTTGTGTAATCACTTCGAGTAATGTAATCTGAGTTTGCAATAGAATGAATAGACCAAATATATGCAAGAGCATGTCTCATACCACAGTAGTATGTTGTCAATACACGAGCATCGGGAGCATAAGCACGAATCTCACTAGACATACTGCGAACAGAATCATAATGTTCCATATTCAATGGCTGCCATAGAAAGTTTGAAGTGGTAAGCTTTATGAAAGAATCACAGAAAAATGAGATTACATCAGAAGAAATCATTTAAAATAATAATTTTGATCACTAAACTACAGATATTCAAATTCAATTCCCATCATAACAAATTTAAACACTGGTTTGTTTCAAATTCAACATCTATCTTTATAGTTAGTTTACAAATACAATATACTTGCAAAGTCTACAGAGTTAAAAAATATTTTTGGTCCCGGAACTTTTATCAAAATTACAATTTAATCCTAAAACTTTAGTATGTAACAATCTAGTCTTTATACTTTAAATTTTGTAGCAATTTAATCTTTATCATGAAAATTCTATCAAAATTAATTGTCCATTTTTCTTATGGAGCGACTAGTCTTTGTAGCTTATGACTACATTTGGTCCCAGTCAATTTATTGATCTACAAATTAAGACATCACACTAAATCTTACCAATATTTTTCATGATAGACCCAACTCCTATAAATTGAAGTATAAGGACTGAATTGTAAAGTTCAAAAACTAAATTGTTAGAAAATTGAGAGTACAAGGACTAAATTGTTAGAAATTAAAATTTCGGGGCTAATTTGCCACTTCCATGAAAGTTTGGAGACCAAAACTGTTTTTTAAACAAATTGTTAAAACTCAAAAATGAATATTATTGCCAACATACTACAGTAGTATATAGAATGGGTATGAGTTGAATTTGGGTGTCTGCAGAACATAAATACCTCATCCCACAGATAAAAATAAGCTTTCTTCCAGTGTGCCTTTGTCCTCAATATCTCAACTTCTCTTTGCAAGTAATCTTTTGCCGCATCACCACTGTGGCACATCAACAAGTTGTTGGAAGTTCATCAGTATCCATCTCAAACATGCCTGACATAATTGAATGGAGGAAACTGAGAATTTACCTCGAGACTGCTCTATATGGTACAGCATAAGCTGATAGTCGTGGGTCTGAAAAATATTCATCTGACTTCGGATGATCAGCTATAGGAATGAACGAGTAAACTAACATCAGATAGAGAAAGCAACAAAAAGCAATATTCCACCAGAAAAATTAGAACAATAAGAACAGTCATCACGTGTTATTGCACTGCAATAACATAGAATAAAATTACAGTTCCTAGTTTGTTTCATCATGGTACCTGGCCAGGGGCAAGTGTACGTCAAAACACGCATGCCATCACCCCATCTGCAGAAATAAGGACTGATTCTATATTGAAGAAGCCATTTAAAATGTTCATCCAATGCCTCAAACCACTCATCAGTACCATGTTCAACACCAAAACGATCTTCAATTACAGTATCAGATACCTAACTAATAGTTAAGGCTTAAACGCAAAAGTTTTCAGGCATGCATTATTCTAAATGTCTTCATTCCTTATTGCATGAAAGGAAAAAATCTATTTCATATATTAGGACCATGTGATGCCTAAATATATATTTTAAATTCAACTAAAAACTTGGATGTTCCCCAAACATTAATAACTTATCCTTTATATACAAGGATACACCAATTACGGCAGGAAGTGAAGGAGTCGCCGGTATTGTGAAGTCCCAAACTGTCAACATTATCTTTACGCGTACTGAAAGGTTTGAAAAGGCATCTTCATCCATCACATCAATTGAACCATTCTCAGAATAAAATTCAGAAAATGATGGAGATTGAGTAACTCTTTTTAAAGAAGCAGTTGCAGATTTCACTCTTTCAACCTGAAAAGACAACGTTTCATACAAGCAGCTTAAATGCTAGAAAATGTGACACGTGATACATTATTGTTATAAGCAAGGTTAGAATGGTAGATTCACAACCTACCACTTCATCCAATGGCTTTTCATCAACATTTTCCATAATATCAAGACAGCTCTTAAGTTCCTTAAATATTTGATGCTTCTCAGCTCTGCCTAGGTACTGTGTTGAAGATCTGATGCAGTTTAGAGTATTTACCAGTAAGTCAAACATAACAATGATATATTAGCCACCAGAAAATCTGAAATAATAAATAAGGAAATTTTGAAACATGTTTTAAGCTGTAGAAGTGAATAGACTCACTCTGCATCCGTCTTTATAGCAGTAACGATGATTTCTCCCTCATATTGACCTGGGGGTTGCATATTTGGGACATCAATAGAAACCCAAACTGCTGTAGTTTCTCTGCAACATTATAAAATATTATTTCAGATTTGGACAAAATTGACCAAGCATTCCTTACACAACATAATGTAAGATCCCAATTCAACACATTAGTCGTCATTACCCTGGAAGAAGGTTTATTTGACTAACTGGAAGATCAAGTGGGACAAGGGCATCTGGAACACCTAATATGGGCACCACACGCCTTAACCTCAACGATTGTCCAACAACTAGCCTGCACACAACCACCTCTGAACGCTTATAAGGGGAATAACACACAAGACTGTATGAATATTGTTTAGTGACACGAACCGATCGCCAGATGTGGAGCATAAATCACCAGAAAAAACTTGCACAATTCCAGCCACACCAGAACCACCCCAAGATATTTTTGGACGCATAGCAATTTGAACACTTTCCCTCTCATTTCTAGCTGCCAGAAGATTTATCTGCAAAGATAAAACTAAATTTAAAATTCCTTCCAAAGAGCATACAAATATTTAAACACATGGAATGCCACATCTGAAGGCCAAATCATCACAGTAATTAGTTCTCAGAATTACCAGTTTTCAAATCCGATCATTTGACATGAAATAAGCAAAGAAAGGTATTTCTAGTTTCTCTATATTATGGTTACATGGAAACACGTGAATGCAAGCATTAAATTCAATTACTAGTTTCTGTTTTATTAGTTGGATTAATTAAGACATTATTCCTTGAATTAAGCATGGTCACTATAAGTTTGTTTACCACCGAGTCAGTCAATAAACAAATAGGCTGTAGGAATCAGAATGGAACCAGTTTCCGAAAAGACTAGCTCTCCTGCCAATTGAGTTCCAGTAACTCGTACCTTCTTGAGGTGGCACTGCCCTAAGCTCCCCCCACACACTCACAAATTATAAACCCATTATGAATCAATAAATCCAACCTCCTGGTTTCCATTAAAGGCTTCCAATCAAGGAGGTTTTATGTTCTAGTGGAAAATGGCGCATGCAAGATACAAGAAAGGTAGTTGTAATTTAAGCACAGAAATAAAATCAATACCGGGAAGAAGATAAAGTAGTTGTAATTTAAGCACAGAAATAAAATCAATACCGGGAAGAAGATAAAGTAGTTGTAATTTAAGCACAGAAATAAAATCAATACCAGGAAGAAGATACTAATTATATATCTTTCATACTTACAGGTTCTAAACGCCTAGGCATTTCCTGAGGTCCAACATTTGCTGTGCTTAGCATGCACCACACATCAACTAGATCTGCTGTAGGAACTTCGGTGGGATCAATAGATCTTTTGGGGAGAGTTGATGTGTTTAAGCTGCCATCACTCCATCCATAAGCAGTTCCTCCTCCTGCAACGCCCTCAACTGGGGGCATAAGAATGCCCTGAGGATTCCCTGCAAGAGGTATGAACATTCATGGTGTCAAACAATCAAAATATAAGATGACAATCGAGCATTAATCGCAAAAATTAAACTCTGAGAGGCATCAGAAATCCTTCATCAAGATTTGACACAGTAAAAAACCAGATAACTTGGGAGTAACTACAGTTTGACTGCTTTATAGTTTATATGTAGAAGAAAATGACCACTTTAATAGCCAAACATCAAGAACTACTTCCTGACAAAATAGAAAGTCTAACAAGCAAATTTCCAATAACTCTACGATGCTGTTCGTATGCTTAATAAATCTACAATAAGCTGGTAGTAAAGTTAACATACACCACTATATGAGGCTATACGCTGGAGTAGATAAACCGCCTTAAAAATGCAATTGATTAAGAACATAAGCTCGGGAATATATATTCTAGTAAGCAGAAACAAATACATGACAGCCTAAACTCGCGGCAAAGAAATCAATACTCTATCCTTCCTTATCAATACCAATGGTCGACATCCTGATCCTAATTTTCATCTCTTTTTCCGCCATTCTCTTACTTCAATTATTGTCGAAATCGACGCGGATCGTAAATGAGGAAATGAATCCATTAAAACGCAGGATTAAGGAAACCGCCATAGATCATATTCAAGACCGAAGTAAATACAATGGCTATTACTGACCGGTGTTATCCATTTCCAGAGACGCCTGTGATACAAAGCTCGCAAATTGTAGAGATTGTAAACCGTTTCCAGTTCAGTTTCAGATTATGGAGCGGAAAATCGTCTGACAGAGAAGATCGAGCTCCAAGAACACAGACGGATGGCCTTGCCAATTATGGGAAGGAAAGACGAAGAAGCGGGTAACTTAACTGGTACATCAAACTCCGCCTTATGCCTATACCTTCATTTCCTCGCGACCCAAATCGGCGAGGAATTGTCCGGATTTTCACCTTGGAAGATTGCCTTCTCTTACAAATTTTACAAATTCAGCTGTGAGATGTGAGACGTAACATATATGTAGGAGTGTTTGTTTATGTACGTAATTTTCTATTGATGGAATGGTTTTCACAATAATTCTATTTTATATAGCCACAAATTAAATATTTGAGATCCAAAATTTTCAATATTGTCGAATTAAATTTTTTATTTCAATCGTGTTTTTATAAATTATATTTTTTAAAATTATTGAATAATTTTTTCTCAAAATATATTAAATAATTTAACTTCCAAATATACCATTTCGAAACAAAAACAATATATATTTAAAAAAGCAAAAATAATATATATTTAAAAAACTGTTTTAAAAGTAATAAATATTTTAAGAGTATTGAGAATCAAAATGAATAAAGTTAGATGGATGAGACAAAAAAAAATTAATTTTTATTTTAAGTAAGAATGTAATATATAATTCGGAAAGTCGGTCGAAAAGAAAATCGTCGATGTCGATCGAAGAATCGTTCCAATAAAAAATTGACGAAATATGAAATTACGAAATAGCCATTACATCTACGTGTCACTCTCCAATTAGTGGATGATCAAGCTGTTCCTCCCTCTTGCTGTAGGGAATACTTCCGATCTAGAATCGGAAAATAGAAGAAGTTCCCTCCATTGCAGGGCGCGGGATTGAGCTGTGGCGGAGAGGGTTTTTCCGTGACCTAGGGTTTCCACTTTCGTAGCCGAAGGGAAGCCGGGGCTTGATCACAGAAGGTGTCAGTGAATTGCCATGGAGAGCGCCTTTGCGAGCGCCTTTGCGAGCGCCTCTGCTATCTCAGACCAGAGGCAGAAGATCGAACAGTATAAGAACATTCTGTATAATGTTTTGTCGTCAAACGATTCAGTCCAAGCCAAGAAGTTTATCGATCACAGTTAGCTGCCTTTTTTTAATACGTTGAAGTTTTCTCCCAAATTGTTCATCTTCAATTTAGTACGAAGTTAGGGCTAATCATCTGACGACTCTTGATATGCAGCACTATCTGACGAAGTTCCGCTTGTGGTTTCGCGGCAGCTCTTGCAAACTCTTGCGCAAGAGTTGGGGAAATTGGAGGGTGAGACTCAGAAAGATATCGCCCATTACATCCTCGCACAGATTCAGCCGCGCGTTGTCTCTTTCGAGGAGCAGGTTTGGTTCTGGCGTTATTCTTTCATAATCCGTAGGAATGATGTTTCTCAATTAGGTAATGATAACCAATAACCAATGTCACTTCTGACTGAATTGACACGGGAGCCTGGCCGTGCCATCCGTCTAATTACACATCTAAATGGAGTATATACTTCTGTTATGTTACCTTTGATTCCCAGTAAGAAATAGGTCCATGAGTGTTTTTGGGTTTATATTGGAATTGAGTGTGTAAAAATGGAGAGGTATCGTAGCTTTCGGATTCATGTTCAAAGCATAGTCAGTGCACATCCAGTATGCTAGAGTATATTTAATGTTGAGTGTGCAGAAGATTATGTAATGTATAGAAAGTCTCTTGGCAGCGTCCTTCATACAAGGACATAAAAATCAGTAAAAGATATATTTTGAGTGTGTGGTTATCTTGAAATGATCGATATCAATTATTCATAGTAAATATGATTTTTATTTTAATATCAGTTCCTCTGTTCTCTTCTCACAATGTTCTGAGTGTGGCTAGGGGCTTCAGTTTTAACTACTTATGTTGTTCATGGATCTCGACTTGCATGGTCCGTAGAGGAAGGAAATAATTTGTCTCCCGTGAGCTGCAGGTGTTGATTATTCGAGAGAAGCTTGCTGAATTGTATGAATCAGAGCAGCAATGGTCAAAAGCTGCTCAGATGCTCAGTGGCATCGATCTAGACTCTGGAATGAGGTATAATACCCATTTTCCTTTCAACCTCTTCCGTGAAAGTACGATTATATAAATTTTGGACTCCTACTGTAGTTACCTTTTTATGGTCTTTGTCAGAGTGATCGACGAGTCATACAGATTGTCAAAATGTGTTCAAATTGCTCGTTTATACCTTGAGGTACAGTATACTTCTGTAGCTTTAATTTAATTCCTACAACGGTATTTATAACAAAGGGCTATATTTTAGTAGTGGCAATTTGCTATGAGGTCATGTAAAAGCATTACGTTGAGCTCTGTATGATGGAGGAAAGTGGTTTCAGATTGCATTGTATGCATGATAAAATCCTTAAACCGGTGCCCTAGACCAACTTGGTCATCTTGACTATGCATGATATAATATAATCATACAGCAATTTTTAATTGCATTGGAGGCGCTTGACAAGAATTAATTGTTTAATGTTTATACTTACACGGGCAATGAAGTTTATTTAGTCTTTGGTACTTGAGCACTCAGTCTTGCTCAATTTCTTCAACAGGATGATGATGCTGTTAATGCTGAGGCTTTTATCAATAAAGCATCATTCTTGGTTAGCAATAGTCAGCACGAAGTCCTTAATTTACAATACAAGGTTAGGAAAGCTTTCGGTTGTTGATGACAATAACTTAAGATGGCCATATGGTTTTTCTTCTGTCTTTTAATCCCGACAATAACTTAAGGATGGCCATATGGTTTTTCTTCTGTCTTTTAATCCCCACCGTTGTCGCAGGTTTGCTATGCTAGGATCTTAGACTTGAAAAGGAAGTTCTTGGAAGCAGCACTGCGTTATTATGATATATCTCAAATTGAAAAGAGACAAATAGGAGATGAGTATGTAAAGTTGAACATTCTTTTCATAGAATAGAAGTGGTTTCTAGCTTTGTCAAGCAACCGTTGTTCGAGTGATATACTTGTTTTAGGACACTGACCTTAAAGCATTTGCACGCCTTTGAAAGTTCCTTTATTTTTACAGGTCTTCCAGTTCGTATGCATCAAATTTCAGCATTCTTGACATTCTTTTTTGCACTTTTCATTTACTGCAGGAATTGCTTAACTTTAAATAATAAGCATATACATTTCTGTCTCATTTCGTAAATAATTACAAAATAGGAAATTGGCTAGATTTGACATGAAGACATTTGTTTTATTGTACAATATTCATGTCTTGATATGACTCATAGATTTTCGTTTTTTCCCCGTTCCTTTCAAGTTTATAGTTGAACTGCAAAATTAAGCTGACACTGATATAATTATAATATGCTATAGCAGTGAGTGTCGACCAATTTTGTGGGCCTTTTCAGTCTGAAATTTTCATAAATGTATTATGCAAATAGTCTTTTGTTGATTTTCCTTTAATATTTCACCCTTCTAAGCCTTATGCCTTCAACTATTTTCTACAATTATATTATGCAGATCTCTCTTGAGTTTAATTTCTCTGGCTTCATAGTGTCTAGGCGGAGCTATAAGCTCAAAATTTTAGAGACTTGCACATGCATGGACGAAAGCTAGCTTTTTTTTTTTTTTTTTTTTATATCAATTCTGCAAAACTATTTTACTCAATCTACTAAACAATTCTGTGCCTTCATTGCAAAAAGGAAGTTTTGTTCCCACGTACTTTTAATATATGTTGGTTTTTGGTCAAGGAGATCGTTGTTTCATGATAAGGGCAGTATTTGGTGGCAGACTTGTTGTTTCGCTATCTTGTGGGTAGTCTGGAGTGAGAGAAACAGTAGAATTTTTAGAGGGATGGAGCAATCTTTTGACGAGGTTTGGGAGGAAGTGAGGTTTAGTGCCTCATTATGGGCATCTGTTTGTCGGACTTTTTGTAACTATTAACTTAGCATCATTCTTTTGGATTTGAGGGCTTTTTGTTGCTTTTTGTATGCCCTTGAAAGCTTGGTTACTAACCACCAAAAAGGAAAAAAGAAAAAAGAACTGAGTTTCAACACAATCCTATGATTTGTATACTACAGTTGAATTTAGAAAACTTAATGTTTTTAAAATGGAAAATATAAATTCATTCATGGTGTTGTTTTTTTTTTTGTTTTTTTCTTTGAAGGAAATCGTGGTGTGTTTAAAAGATATTGCTTAGTTAATACTTTCCTTCGGCCTTTCTTGTTTTAGTATAGTCATTATAAAGGCGGATGTTAGTTACTTTATCTGTTTTTTTCTCAGAGAAATCAACGAAGAAGCATTGGAACAAGCTTTATCTGCTGCAGTGACATGCACAATATTGGCTGCTGCTGGTCCACAACGATCCCGAGTTCTTGCCACATTATACAAAGTAAAAATCTTCTTTAGAAAAATGGAATTTATGTATCATTTTGGAGGGGATTGATTTTTTAATATGCACTTTCTAAGCGTTGACCTTTTGGTTTAGGATGAGCGTTGCTCAAAGTTAAAAATCTATCCAATACTGCAAAAGGTTCCCTCTCTCTCTCTCTCTCTCTCTCTCTCTACGTTCAAGACTGTTCAGTTCAATGACATTAATCAGGGTAAAATTTAACGATTAGGTTTACTTGGAGAGAATTTTGAGGAAGCCTGAAATTGATGCATTTGCTGAAGAGCTAAAGCCTCACCAGGTTATTGTTTTTGCTCTTTACCTCTTTCTTTATTCTGCATTGAATCATTTTTTAAGAAATTTTCCTTTACATTACTTCAACAGCAAGCCCTTCTGCCAGATAATTTTACTGTGTTGGATCGTGCTATGATTGAGCATAATCTTCTCAGTGCAAGCAAACTCTACACAAATATAAGGTCAAATATGTGTAGTTTATCATCTCGTCCTCCTTTATTCCTTTTTTCTCGTTTTACTATTGTTTTTGGTTATTCCTGTCGCAGCTTCGAAGAGTTAGGCACTTTGTTGGGTATTCCTCCTCATAAGGTGTGTGCCATTTTATTGTTCTTAATACTTCGGCAGAACTTCGTCGACTTTTTGCTAATGATTTTAGATTAGCTTCTTACAGTATGTTTAAATTAAGACATGCAATTAGTTTCTTGTTGTCTGTTTGGGTAAAAATGATCCTTAAATTACTGATTTTTAACATAAACGGGGAGAGAGAATGGATCCTATCACATTAACCTGCCGAACCTCTCTATTAATTAGAAACGAAAGAAAGAAAGAGAATAAATATTACTCTTTTAAAAGGTCCCAGCTAACCATGTTTAAGAGATTAAGGAAAACTCTTTTAAACGGGAAGGTCTTAGCTTTAGCTTTGTATCATGGCTCTTGTTCGTGTGTATTTCTAGTTCTTTTTATAAGTGTAGTCCCTTTATAATTAGCTGCAATTGAAACTTGTGAACGTGTAGTAGTGTACTGTTCTTTACTTGTCTTGCTTTTACTTTTCACCGAATCAATAAAATTGTTGTTAATATAAAGTTACTTTCCCTGGCCTGAAATTTGCTAGAAAATATTCATTATTCAAAAGAAGTTTTCATTTTAAAATTAAGTTGATATGCGTGCAAATTATCCCTGCCGATAAAAAAAATTCCAATGATCTTGATCTGGACTCCAACTACCTTCCAGTGTGATCTTCTACTCGAACATCAGTGATGACTAACACAAAGAAGTAGGTTATCAATATCATATAGGCCTCAGGAAATTACAATCCTCCCTCTTGCTTTTTCATTAATATTACTAAATAAGAGATACTGGGGTTGTGCCCTTGATGGTACCTCTATTTGCATTCAAAGCCATACGAAGGACCAATCAACCATATCATATGACTTTACCCCTCATCAACTACCTCGTTTCAAGGATAGGTCTCAAAATGTGTTTACCCCCTTTAGAGGCAGGCCAGGTTGGCTCTCCAAAATAGTTACATGGAGAACCTTGATCTTTTAGGTCTATCCACAAATTCTAGCAAGGATTTTATAAATATTGGCAGTGTCGGTGGAACTAATAGGTCTAGAATATATCTGGCGTGAAAGCTGAAGATTTTCTGGGAATCAGGCATGTACAAGTTTCATTAACACAATTTGCTTACCTTTTCTTTCATGATAAAGCTTCGTAAATTATTCGGCAGTATGGCTGTTTGCGTCTGGAGTTTTTTCACATAAAAAGCTGCTAACAACTTAAAAATCTCACCCTTCCGGAAGTCTTTCCAACAATTGGGATACCTTAACAGATTCGAGCTAAAGAGCTCACAAAAATGAACTTATTTGATATCTTCTACTTCTGGCTTGCAAGCGGATACTCAATGTGCTTATCAAGTTCATTTTGCTTGCTAAATTTGACTTTGTTTTTAGGCTGAGAAGATAGCATCCAGAATGATCTATGAGGACAGAATGCGGGGATCAATTGACCAGGTTTTTATCTTCTCTTCTCGATTCCCCCCAAATGAAAGAATTATTGGAAAAAAAATGGATTATCTATCTTAATTAGCTTTCAGAACTGTTTGCACATATTATATTTAGCTATGAAACTGCTATCAGGTTGAAGCTATTATCCATTTCGAGGACGATATTGAAGAGCTGCAGCAATGGGATCAACAGGTATTTTCTCTGGATTTCATTTCTATTTATTTGTTGCTCTTTTCAAAATTTGAAAGAGTAAAGCAGGTTCACTTAAATTGCGCGCGGCACATGTTATGGAAAATTTTAGATATCAGCATTTATGACAATGACAATGTTTTTTAAAAATTAAGAGAGAGGAGAGAAAAGGAAGGGAAAACGTCTAATTATTATTTTCATTTTTGATGTTGATGTGTACCGTGTAATTATTTGTTTTGTTTGGTCTGTGTAGATTGTTGGTCTTTGTCAAGCTCTGAACGACATCTTTGATAGCATGGCAAATAAAGGGGTCTCCCTTCCCGTCTGACCAATGTGCTGTTACCGATTCCCAATCCAGTGATTTTGTATTATCTTAGAAACCTTCATCTTTTTACCATAATTTTGAGGCTACTTTAGTTTTTTTATTGTTTATTTTTCTTTTTTGAAGAGTTTGAAAATTGTTATTCTTTTTAGCAGCGAGGGTTATTTGTCTGTCATCGGGGAAAAAAAAGAAAAGAAAGAGAGAGCGAGAGAGGGATACGAAGAGTTACGAAGCCAATGTATCAAAATATTTAACTTCTCCTCACTAAGAAAAGGAAACAGGAAAAGATGAAATGAAGCACTGTTTATGGCTTTGGAGGGTCCTACCACACTGCAAACCAAATCTGCCAGGTAAGTCTAAAGGATCGTTTATTTGCGAAAAGAACCAATTCGAAATTGATTTTATCAAGTTTTAATGTAAGGACAATTTTGAATCTTTTATATATGGATCTTCCAATTTAAATTTGTACATGTCTTGATACGGTGGCCGCTGGCCTCCCCCGTTTTACCATACCTAACGGATTTGATTGAAGTACAGCTATTAGTAATAGCTCCTCGCAAGAAAAAACTGGTGGCGTGTAAATTTAAGAAAACGAACTTATGAGTATCTTGGTTGTTGTCATTCATACAAATGTCCTCGGTTGGAGAGGTAAACAAAATATTATAAATGTTTGGTAATCTCTCCTTCGTTCATTTATTATAAAGGTATGAAAATCTATTCCATAGTTTACTTATTTTTTAAATTTTAAATCATGACGTTTAATGGCAATGTGTAATGGGCGGGCCAAAATAATAATATCAAGGTGGACTTAATGGGCGGGCCAAAATAGATAATATCAAGGTGGGCTTGAGTAGTAACAAATAGTCACATTTTAAGTTAAAGTCAATATGTAATAGGGCAAAATAGAAAATATGTAATAGGGCAAAATAGAAAATAAGGGGTTATAAATGTAAGTAGCAAAATCTCATATTACATGAATTTAAGTTATGAAATCCACTTTATTCATAAAATTTATACTCTAAAAAAAAAGTTTAGACCACGACAATCCGCAATCTAGAACAAATTATAACTTATCAAAATTGTGAGCTAAATGGTCCCTTATTGGTTTCCTGTGTGGCCTTACAAAGGCCTTAATTACTAGCAGATACGTGGGCAATTAACTCGGAATAAAAAGGCAAAGTGCCCACCCAACGAAACGTTGAACGGAACGGACTTCAAACACAACTAACGTAAACAAAGGCATTGAACTCGGATCCAAAGGCAAATATGTCGGGTCCTTATATTAGAAATCTCCCTTCAGTCTTTATTGGCTTCTTCATGTGTGTCTTCTCCAACTTGAATGACGCGAATGCAGAACTCATTTGGCTGGACTCCTCACCAAAAGTGCATGGTTTGCGTTGCAATTGCAAAGAAGATTGCCTTAATATATCAAACAATGAACTGCCTGATTTAGCTTCATTCTGTGCACTTGGTTTCACTTGGGAGTAACTAAACTTGGCTGAAGAAATCCTTGTAGGTTTATTTTCACTCTGGCCCTGCAAAGCCAAGTTATTGATGTTATTAGGTCGGCCCACTATCAACCAAGGAACACTTGATCGGTTTGGATTGAACTGATCTATGAGGAGGTGAAGTCATCTCTTGCCTCTCAATCATCCAAAAGTAAACATGAATATATATGGTCCAGCATCAATATTTTTAACGAGAGCTGACCTGATCAGAAGATTCTTCCATTGTTGGAATGGCACTCTTGCTGTTGCTATCATCTCGACCGAAAATGAAAGAACGACTGTTGATTGATGATCCGTGTTTACGGGATGAAGAAAGAGATAAATTTGAACTTCGACCTAAGAAAGATGACTGCATAATTTATGTTAGCTTTATAGAAGATGTTATCTTTTTACAATAGAACCAACGGATTAAATAGCTAATGCATTTCTGAATTCAGAGATTATGCACACAGATACCTTGGATGTTATGTTCTTGCCTACACCAGTTAGTGGAGGGTCCAAAAACGCTGCATAAATACAGACAATGCATAAGGATTAAGCAAGATAAAGGATGCTAGATTCAGAGGGGATGATGAATGTGCTGCAGATCTTACATTGTGCTTTGGGTCTCTTCTTTACATCGGATACAACATTCAGCTTCTTAATAAGACCAAAAACTTCTCTAGTGCTCTCATCCTCAGCAGGCGACAGAAATGTGGATTTTTCCTCCTGTTTCAGACCAATCGTTAGATCATCCTGTTAGCTATATGGTCGAACGATTAAAAGATATAAATCTTAGTTCATCAAAGAACAGCTTGAATCTCACAGCTTTATAAAGTACACGTTCTCTTTCTATCCTCCTTTCTGTTTCCTCGTCATCGGACATGTACTGATCATCATTATCTGTATACATTTGAGGAAGCATTTGCTTTACTTTTCGAATGTTCATTCGAGCAACATTCAACGGAAGTAAATCTTCTGCAGCTGCTTCACAAAATTCAAAATCATCATTTTCTCCTTCATTATTTACATCATCCAGCAAAGCTGGTTTAGTAAATTTTGATCCATATTTCAATTTCTGCAAAAGATCTTCTGTTCCAGCAGCATCTTCCTGCTCAAGCCACTTCTGATGGAGTTCGTTGCGTTTTTCATTGTCTAATGGATTTTCTTCGTATGCAGTTGCTATCATATCTTGAAGCTCTTCTGAATCAGTGTACTCGTCTTCATCTTCATCTTGAAAGCGCATATCATGGTCACTGTCATCTTCTTCCTCAGCTTCATCATCAACAAAAGCTTTAACAGGATCCCCGCTTGCCAATGAAGGCAAGTTTGACAAACCATGTGGATGTGGATTTACATTCTCCTTATCATTATCCTCCTCATCAGAACTGCAAAAGCAAAGTACTTGAGAAGTTAAGTTATATGATCAAACAGCCAGCGATATGAAGCAACTAAAATTAAGATTTCTTGAAACCAATATCAAACAATTAGCAGTGGCCCAGCTTGATATTCTCAGTGTTTAACATTGAGAGAGTAGGAAAGGAAGTCATGAACATATCAAATGAGTATACGTAATAAAATTTCCAAAAATTCTTACTCCTCATCAAGGGCTGCAGAATCGAGCCTTAAATTCATTGCCAATACGGATGGTGTGAAATTTTCTTGCAAATGACTTCTGGATGTCTCGTTCAACTCATCATCAAGAGGTGCAGATTCATGCTTTAAATTCATAGCCAATACAGATGGCGTAAAATTTTCTTGCAGAGGATTGTTGGACATCTCATTTGATACATCGTCTCCATTGCTTGTTTGGGAATCAGAAAAGAGTTCCTAAAACATGATAGACATAGTAATTATGCTGAAAAAATATAGAGATAAAACAATACATTATCAGAACTCATTGAATGAAAATACCTGAGTGTCATTAATAGGAGTCCAAAATGCTTCTGTGGCGTCGTTGGTAGCCTGTAATTCATAAAGACAACAACTGCATCAAGTCAGTAACACGTTTGAAATTCTAATTTCAAAACACTTGAAACTTGGCAATCCTTGAAGCAAAAAAAATAAAATTGTTATTTGGGTCAAATTGTCAGGTAGTAAAGAAAATGTCGTGTCAGTTAACTTCCTTCAAGTCTTAGTTACTAGAATAACTCAACCGGAACTAGCCAATACTTCCACCAAGAAAATTGTTACTCCTAAGCATGTAATAAAACTCCATTTCGAAATGACGGCAAGCTACAAAAACAATTGCCCTTGTTATCACAAGATCATTTTGTACATTTGCCACATTTTAATTATAAACTAATTTAAACCTATTAATGGCACGGGAAGGGGAGGTGGATGCATCTAACCTTTTCCCTCTCGGAGGGCATGTTTGTCCCATTACTCCTTTCATCTATACACATTGAACCTTTTCGGTTCCCCAAATCAGCAGGATGCTGATCCATATCCTCGCATTCTCTTTCTATAGAATCCGCCCTCCCTTCTACAGACAACCTATGCTTGATCACGACCTCTGTGCACAGATAATTGTCATCGTCGTTGCAGTCTAGAATGGCATTCTCAATATTGATAGATCTGCGTAAATAAATATTATATAAGTTCATAGTCTAGGTACAAATGTATGACTAAGAATAGGATGCCCACTTCCTAGAGAGCTCAAGCTTCCTTTGTCGGATCTTCTCCAACACTGAGGATATCGGTTTCCGAACAAGAGGCATGGGCTTGAATGCTGCCCCTCTGGTATCTAACAAGAAGGAAAAATAAACTTGAGAATGTAGACGGGGAAGTGTGGCTTAGGCTTGGAGCTTAATTTTGAAGATCGATCGTCTTTAAGAAGAATTAGGACACGATTGTGAGAATCAGTAATACAATTTACCTCGCAAGAGTCTCTGAGACTCGGCGCGGAGTTGTTCAACGTATTCTCTTCTCTCCTGAAAAATATAAGCAATGAAATAAGTAAATACCGAGAAATTGGGGAAATATCCACATGAATTATCGCATTTAAGGACATCGGAGGTCCTCATACCTTCTCAAGAGTCCTTTTGGAGACCGCAGTCTCGTTGAAATCTTCAGGCTCTCCACTGCTCTTGAGCCTTTTGTTCTTTGATTTCCTCCTCTTTGCTTCTCTCTCGTCCTCGAATGAATCCAAACTTGGCCGTTTCTTCACCAGTTCATCTACCAGGGCATCGCCACTTTCCTCTCCTATCCTCAGACTTTGATCTTCATCTATTTCATCAATACCAGCGACGGCATCAAATTCCAAGCCCTTCTCGGCTCCAGAATCATTTTCCTGATCATCCAGACCAAGACTAGGTTCCAAGTTGCCACCATCGTCCAAATCCCTCGATCCAGATCCCGATTGTCGAAGCTCATCGGAATCATCCAGATCTTGGCCGTTAAATTTATCAGAATCATCGGCATCAGTTTCCGCCGCACTCAATTCACGCATCTTAAGGCTATCATCGAACCGATCATCGATCCTCAAAAATTCCCCCAACACTCCACTCGAAAATTGATCATCGACCCTCGGCAACTCCTCCGATAGAACACTAGCCTTCTTCAACCGCTTCAGCTTCCTCCCCGCAACGAGAGGGGAATCGACGTCGGGAGACGAAAGTAACTGGAAATCGTCGTCGCTCTCCATCCTCTACTGTCGATTGTGAAACAAAAATCCAAGACGAAGGACTGACCTGAGAACAGTTGATGAAAAATCGGAGCCGCTAAGAGAAGGGTGTAGTGGCGGCAAAGCGAATTCGAAAAAATCGTGAAGACATAAAGGCTAAGGCACCCTTTTATTTTAATGAGATGCCAAACGAAGTCGAGCGAGCCCGCCAAAATTACCTGTTCCGACTCCACAGAATCTATTCATGATCTGTCGGTAATAAATGTAGAAAGACGAAGCTCGGCCCGGCCCAGTAGTTTTTTTTTTTTTTTTTTTTTTTTTTTTTTTTTTTTTTTTTTTTTTTTTTTT